TTCGATAGAGAATTAAATTCTGCATCCAGCACAACCAAGTAGGGAACCAGCACAGACGTAGGGGCGAATCGGGACAGGAAATACGCGAATCTGGTGCTAACATTACCTACGTTGTTATTCAAAGTCTCAAAAGTCATCTATATTGAGTATGATCAGTGTAGCAGAGTAGATATATCATTTTTTTTCGTAATTCCGAAGAGGAAATTTTTTCGATATCAATAATCGGAAGAATTGAATCGATTGATCGTAGTGTATCTTGAAGTGTTTTAAATCTTCCATTTCGTCAATTTGATGATATGTCTCATTGAAACACTGATTTCTTTATCTTTCACATATGAAGATCATATAAACCTAACGCTTTGCACTATTTATATAATATAGTATAAGATTCGAACCATGTCTGATGATGCTCGGCCTTAAGCAAAGATGGAAACGTGTCGTATGCGTATGGATACTTGAATCTCATCCTCGAAGGAGTTTCATTTTTGACATTTCATACAGATATTTTCCATGATAAATCGATTATAATAATAATTTTTTGATACTGTACCAAAAAAAACAAAAATATTGTATTCTGTAAATAAATTACGATCATTTAAATAAACTCTTTATCCAATTTCATAACAATTCTTTAAAAAATAAATAAAGTAAATGGAATGAGATACTTTCGATTTTCTCTATTTCAAACAAATTGACTTTAATCCTTAGTAATTTACTATAAATTTCTATCTTGATAATAATCAGTAATGATCAATATCACTTGATTATATTGATACAAATAATATTCTGAATGTTTCAATATTTCAATAGTGTCGTTTATTATTTTTTAAAAATTAAAAAATTGAAATTAAAACTGTAGTAAAAAAACTCCATTGGCTATTTGAAAAACCAATAGTTTCTCACTAGTTAAGTGGTCGTCGTACCCATGATGTTATATTAAATACAGGTGAAAAGTCAATATATGCCTTATATATTTGATTTTCTATTGGTATTACATAAAGATTAAACCATTCATCAATAATATCTTTTGAATAAAGACTCGATAGATCATGATTTAATCGTTCTTTACTTGATAATAAATCATTTTGAAAACCTTTTAATTCAGTTAATTGTGAATCAAGTTCATAACGACGTACAAATGAATGTTTTCGATTATATTCGGGTGATGTATCATACAAAAGTTTTAAAAGATTTTGAATTTTCGAAACAATTGTGAATAAAGATGATATACTTGAAAAAATAGAAATACCTTAATATAAAATATAAAAATAATTGATTTTTTTTGTCTTCTAATAATATTACTTGGCAATAATTTACATAATTGTGAATATTTACCAATTGATTTCATTAAAGTTTCACAATCATAAAATGGATTATCAGCAAGAAATTGGTCTGTATTTAAAATATGTAAACTATAAAGAAGTGATGGATAAGCTGTTGGTAATATATCACATAATGGCATAAAATGATCAAATCTTGACCAACCGGTAAGTATAATAGCTGAGAAATATTTTTCTTCAAAAGTTGGTGATTGCATAAAATGAAGCCATTGACGATTATTTAACACATGATGTGTTGTATTTGTTATCATTGAAAAACGATCAACACCACCTTTAAATGCACTTGCAGCCCAAATACTATTAAATAATTTTGGATATATCTTCCAAGCAGATAAAGTTTTGTAGTAATCATGAAATGTTGGAACATAATTCCATGAAACAGGTTCAACAAGACCTTTTAGTTGACTAAGCTAAAAATAAACTAATATTCTTAAACAACCAGTCACAATCTGAAGACATTTCGGTTCATAATACTAGATTTAAGTTTCATCGATTTTTGGAGGTTTCTTGTCGAAATCGACCGGTACACAGTGGAAAGCTTTCGTATAGTTGGCAGACAGGGGAGTTTCATGTTTTAAACCGAGCTTTTATTGTTCAGAAGTAACTATATACTACTTGGAAAATCATCTGTAACAAAATAAACCATTTGTTTTTGGAAAAAATTTCCGTAAAAATCACCTGTGGGAATCCCAGCCAAGTTTTTCAAAAAAATTCTTTTGTTAGAAAATGTAGTGTGCGACACACCATTCAACGCAGTTTTACTCGCTGATTACGAATATTGCCTTACTTTTTCGTTGAGATATTATTTTAAGGACAAGAAAAAGTGATTTGGGGTTAAAAACCACAGTTTTGAGGGAAGCCTAGCCTAATCCATAGTCACAGATAACAGGGAAGAACACAATTAATATAGGACTGAGCTCAGTCGGATGAGAACTGTTTATACCTTTCGAAAATTACAGTATGACTAATTTTTTTCAAGTTTTCATGCACATAGGCCAAATATTTTTTTAAAAACACTCTTTATTGTATATGGTTCGATGCAGCTCGATGAGCTAATTCCGAATATTACCGTGATTTTGCGCTAAAATAATGCCTTCTTTATCAAAAGCTATTAGCACAATCCCTTGCGGGATTAAAAATGTGAAACACGATGGACCTCTTGTAATTAATTAAATGGACATCATTTTGTTCCATTTCTCCAGGATAGTTTTGTAGCTTATCGGTTATTTGATGCTTCGAAACTATGGTTTCTCCGTCACGGTCTCTGATGGTCTCCGTGGGTTCTCTGTCACAGTCTGTGATGGTTTCTAGGAGTCCTCTGTCATAGTCTGTGATGGATATTGGGGTTTCTCTTAGAGGCGTAACCAGGATTTGCACAGTGGTGGGGCGGTGGTGAGGCTCAGCTGCTGAAATTCTGCTCGATGGTGGGACTGAAAATGGAATTCGGCTGGAGCAAGTTTCTTGGGTGGTGGGGCTCGAAGCTCCGGTGGTGGGGCTGAGCCTCACTTGGCCACTCCTTGGTTACGCTACTAGCTTTTCTGTCACGGTCTGTGGGGGGGGGGGAGTTCAAAATTTCTACCCTAAACGCTTCAACACTCCTTTCAGATCGTGTTTCACAAAATAGGGATTTGGGAGCGACAACGTCAGTTTTTGGGAGACCCGTAGCACCGACTCTACTTGTCGATAGGAAGTGGCGCTTCGATCAACGATTGATCAGATTTGGAGGAATAATCAGCGAAAATTTGAGATCAATCAGACGTGAGTCCAGTGGAGCGTTTAAAAAACCCAGAAAGCCTGCTTTTCAGAATCTTGTCGAATACAGGAACCAACTTTTTTTTTGAAAAACACTTACTGTTATACATGACTCGATGTAGCTCGGCGCATTGAATCCGAATATCACCTTAGATTTGCTTAAAAGTGTTTCTGTGTTCGTAAAAATAACGATTTCGGGAAAGAAACCTAGTTTTTGGAAAATTGATAGCGCTGTTTCCGCTCACTGTCACCACTCGGCGCTATGGCCAATTATAAAACGCATAAAGAAGAATAATTAGTGGAAGTTTGAGCTAAATCGTACTTAAATTGTGTTGAATGTTTGGAAAATGCGGTATGACCGATTTTTTGGCCTATTTTCGGCTCAGTAATCGGTGTTTTCCTACTCCATTTCTACCTTTATCGTAAAAATTTTTTCACACAGTGAAGTTTATGAGTCAATTATTTGTTTCAGATAGTTTTTCGTTTTAAAATGATTCAATAAGTTGGCGGTAGAAATGGTGTTTCGTATAATTACTGATTTATGAACACATTTTTTGCGATGGGCGTTTTCAGCCTTTGGTTAAATTTCTGAAGATCATATTTGAGGGTAAGAGAGCAGTCATCCTATTCCGCAATGTTCAACATAACGAAACTAATTTCGGGAACTCGAACATCAATCAACCAATTGGACTTATTGGACAAGGATCGCGATCGCTCAATTCCCGGTATTGAGTCCTTTTCAAAAGTCACGTGTTTCCTATGAATTCCGTCAAATTCCGTAGCGACCTATGTTCTAGAATTCTGAAATTCCTGGAACTGGTTCCTAAACAGAATCAGTCCCCGAAATACCGGAAGTCCATCCAATCCTACTTCGACCTAATTCCGAGAATTCCGTTCTGGAACTGCTAACTTATTTCAGAGATTAATATATAACTATTCAGCCCAACATGAGGGTGAAGGCAGAACGTAATTCCGCGACGGAATTTCGGAAACTGATTTCTGATCGGAATCAATTCACAAAATTCCGGAATTACGGGAAGCTCCTGGGAATTTCAGAATTCCAGAAGATAGGTCGCTACGGAATTAGACGAAATGCCTAGGAATCACGACTAGTTTAAAAAGGACTCAATTATGAAAGTTCCAGGAATTGAGGGAGCGCGATCCTTGTCGAATAAATCCAATTTGTTGAATGATGTTCGGGTTCCCGGAAATGCATGGAATTGGTTTCGGGGACGGAACTGATTCCGCAATGTTCAAAATCACGGAATAGGATGTATTCACCATTGTGCGATGTGCCTTCATCTCGTCAAATATTTATCTCGATATCTCATCGAAAAAAAATTCTGTAACCACAAAACAATCACTCTGATTAGAAGCTTACCAATTTGTCATTTTTAGTAAATTCATCATGTCGAAGAATATCATCCCAAATAAGTACACGAATTCCAGGTCGAATTTGATGAACAATATTAACAATACGTTGAATATGACTTCAAAACACTCATTACATTTCGTTCATTAATCTTTTTCCTTACTTACTCAATATATCTTTCAGATTTATTCATTTGTTTTTTATAACATTGATCATGAACATTGTATAACATAACTTCATCACAACCAATATGAATTTTATTACTATTAGGATGCATGTCAAGGGTTTGTTGTAAAAGATCTAAGTAATGCAAAACTTTTCTTCGAAAATTTTTCAATAGAAAATTCCTGAATAACCTTGAAGTAAAACATAAGTAGCATTAAGACATGGCGAAATAACTAATGGTAAATTAGGATGATCACGATATGATTTGAATTTATCTAATTTAAGAATCCATTCTAAATGACCAAATGTTTGAATAAGTGGAATTATTTCAATTTCATTTTCTTTTGCAGCTTTTTCTATTAATTTTATATCAGATTTTGTATAACCAGCTTGATGACCAACCTTTTAAAAGAAAACACATGATCTTTATTTTCCATAGTTTAATTATTTATTTATACTTACATCAGCAAAAATTCCTTCTAATGGAAGTATATCTTCATATTCAATTAATACACCTTTTACGCCCATTTGTAAACTTTTAAGAAAATTAAAAAAAGATTCATAAAATTTATCTAGTTTTGGTGGTGCACCTTTTAAATCGAGATGAATATATTTAGCTAAATTTGGTCTACCATAATTTGGTTTTTCTGTTGATATATTATTAATTGTTTTAGTAGAAAATGTCTCTTGTGGTAAATATGAATTATCAGATATACTTTGAGATAAGCGTTTCTTACCAGATGATTTTGATATGCATTGTGAATAATAAATAATATAAATCATAATAATAATAAAAACGAAAGCTAAAAATTTGAATATAGTATTCATTTTTAGCAATTCTACTTCACGGAGCAATGATGGTATAATTGACAGACATTTATTATTATAGTGGATGATAATTTAAAAATTGGCTTTAATTAAGAAACTATAACCGTAATAAGGTACACAACAAATAATGTATGTGATTTATTCGATGAAATATTTCATAGCAAAGCGTCGATACTGTTTTAGTTTGTGCATCGTATCGGATGAGTAATGAAGCGTGAAAATCATCATAAGAAATAAAGGTATGAATAAAAAAAAGACCGAAAATAAACATTTGAAACAAAAATATCGAAAAAGAAAACAGAAAGGAAAAAATGCTGATCATATAAGAAGAACGAAATAAGAATTTCGGAAGAAAAAAATTAGCGGCGTATAGGGATGACCCTTTATCTTTACTTTTCTTTATAATAAAGGATAGACGTAAATGAATCTTTTACTCTTAAAAAAAAAGGATACATGAATCCTTTATTTTTAAAAAATAAAAATAAATGATCATTTATTTTTAAAAAATAAAGTTAAATAAACAAAAGAGTACTTTATTTTTTAAAAACAAATGTAAACGAATCAGAAAAGTTTATTTTATCAAGAAAATAAAAGAAATTATATAATTGTCATTTGAGAAATTTGCCAACTATTTTTTTATTTAGTTTAAGAGAAAACGTAATATTCTTTAAAATATTTTTTCTTATTTCTTAATTTTTCTTATTTATCATTTTTTATATTGTGTAAAATATTTTTCAGATTTCTCCCAAATAAAAAAAAAAAAATTCATAAAACTTATGGTAAATGGATAATTTGTTAACAGTAACAGTTTTTCTATTAATGTAGAAATTTTTCTGAAGACTAACGAACAAATCTATTTTATATAAAATTCCTTGAAAATTATCTTAAATGAAAATATGTTCAATTTCTGATACATTTCAAGCAGAAATGAGCGATGATTATCGAACTAAAATTTATAATTTTTAACTTCAAGATGAAATTTGTTCGTACTCAAATTTTGAGATATTTGATGACTCATAAGGGTAAACATTATTTATCAGATGATTTCTTTGGTAAATGCTCAATATCACAATCGATAAAAATTCACCATTTTTCAATGTTTGAGATCAAAACTTTATTTTTTTTTGTCATAAATTGAAACTAAAGACTACATCATAATTCATTGAAATAAGACATCAAAGAAAATTTCTTCGTTGATTACACTTTTTCTCATCTGTATGAGTATAAAAATCAAGATAAATGAGAATTATTT